ATTTCATTGGAATAGGAAACTGGAGTGATGTTCCCCGGAATGGACATGGAGCCATAATTTTTTTTAATAAATATATTGTCACATACAGGGTAACAGGCGTTCGGGACGGGCCGAACTCCCGAACCCGAACCCCCGAACGTATGGGACCCCTTGGGGATGCGTTCGGCCGTTCAAGCCAAACGCGGACCAAAAAAAAAAAAAAAAAAAAAAAATCAAAAAAAWCAAACAAATATGAAAAAAAGATATTTTATGAAGAAAAATAAATTAAACAAGATTTGCCTGAGCATTATATCCAAATTCTTTACCAAATTTGAAATAAAAATAAAATACGAAAAACAAATACTAATCAATTAGTTATAATAAAAATAACAAAAAATAAAAAAAGAACTAAATTTAGTGAGCGCGCGAGCACGTTTTCGACACCGCCATCTTTGGCGATTTTTCATTTTGTTTTGGCATAGCTAAATGCCCTGAAAATTTACAGATCTGTACTTCACATAATGAAAAACCCACTAAAAAAGTTTCAAAAAATAATAAAATTGTATAGACCCCGAACTAAAGTGAAAACAAAAAGTAAAAAGTGAAAAAAAACGTGGGCGAGCACGTTTTGATACTGCCATCTTTGGCGATTTTTAATTCTTATTTGGCTGAGCCAAAGGACTTGAAAATTTATAGACATGTACCTCAGGTCATAGAGAACTCACAAAAAAAAACTCAGAAAAAAAAAAATTATTTTTAGGCCCCGAAATATTTTTTGGCGGGGGCCGAACGCCGTTGGGTTCGGACCCCGTACGGGACCCCGAACGCCCGTACGTACGGAGGTTTGCCCGGGGACCTCCGAATGTACGGGCTGGTGACCCTGGTCACATATATATGAACTAAAAAAACGCACTTTGCAAAACAAATGGTAGAAAGTTACTAAAAACAAAAGAAAACAGAAGACAAATATGAAGATCACACTGAAATCATTAATTTTTGTCATTCGTCTTTTAACTCCCCCCCTTCACTATACCTCTCACATAAAAGAGAGATGAGGTTGAGCGCTAGCTGCCCACATCCCCGTATGCCATAATGGCCCACTTGTACATTGTGAGAAAGAGGCAGAGTCAAGGGGGAGGGGATAAACACAACAAAGAGAGATGGAGAGAAGACAAACAAAGAACGACAAAAGGAAAGCAAGGGGAAGTAAGGAGTGTGGAATGAAGATGAAGTCAAAGGAGAGGATAAGAAAAGGCTCAAGAATCAGCCTGTCCTTCATGACAGAGAGGACATGCATTGTAAGGATGAGAGGTGGATGAACACATGGAAGATGTAGCTGAGCATTCTCAGTGTAACAATTGCTGCAACGACCGGCATTGAGCATGCCCATCATACACCCTTAACAATTGCTGCGACAACTGGCATTGAGCATGCCCATCATACACCCTTGACAAATGGCATGTCGATTGCAGGCCAAAACGAAGGAAGAATGCTCACCACAAAAGACCATGCATTGAGTATAGCGCCCATGGCCTTTGAAAGAAAAGAAATAATTTTGAGTTACATGAGGCGGGTCAGTTCAACGACAATATCTCAAGTAGATTCTGATCCATACTTTAGGGCTTCAGGCCCTGCCGTGCACGCACGGCCTGGAATCGGCACCGTCAGCCACAGGAACCAAGTCTCTTAACCACTACAGCCTGACGTGGTGTACAAAAGTTGAACCATGCCAGTCATGACATCCACCCCACCCTGCACCCCTGCATGGGTGTACTGTCCAGGGTTGTCATGCGGGGATCCCCTTCTGGGAACCGGGTCCCTGCCCCCGCCTTTGGATACCCGGCCCAGGGGTGACCGGCCACCGCACCGGGGACTGGCGACCCCCAACCCCCATCGCTGCTTCCACCCCCGCAGGCCCGCCGCCGCCACCGGACCTTGCACCCCCACCACTGGACCCCGGCACCTCCACCACCAGACCCCGCCACCGACTCTCGCCACCGGAACCCGCCACCGACCTCCGAGCCCCAGAGTGTGTGTGTGTGTGCGCGAGAGAGAGAGAGAGAGAGAGAGAGAGAGAGAGAGAGAGAGAGAGAGAGAGAGAGAGAGAGAGAGAGA